GCCTATCCACTTCCACCCTAAGCATGGCCTCCTTGTCTTGGGAAAGGTTCCTTCTCTTTTGCTGAACAGGCTTCCTCCCTTCCTCTACTGCCAACCTATGCACAGCCGTCTCAGGCGCTACCCCGGGCATTTCTTTAGCACTCCAAGCGAACAACTCAGCGAACTCCTTCAACAAAGCGACCAGCTTCTCGACCATATCGGGAGGCGCCTGGACCGAAATCCTGATCTGCCTTTCCGGTCGCCCCTCGTCCAAGGGGATCAGCAATTCTTCATCGGCCGCCTCCGCTCTGGGCGCCTCCTCGGAAGCAATCGTATTGACCCTTTGACTTTTACGCGGCCGCACGCTCTTCAGCATAGTATAAACCGGGGCGCCTTTTCCTCTTGCGATGCCCACTCCCTTCGGCGCTATGAACTTCAACGTCTGATGACAAGTGGACGCTACCCCGTTGAACAAGGCCAAAAGGGGCCTGCCGAGTATGGCATTGTAGGGGGAGGGGCAGTCCACTATACCAAAATCGATAGCATGGGTGACACGCTGCTCTTCATCACCCAAAGTAACGGGGAGACGTACGCGCCCGATTACCTTCGCAGGCGCCCCTGAGAACCCGACTAGCATCGAGTCCGACGGTCGTATTAAGTCAGGAGACAAGTGCATGCGCATTACCGTATCCTTGAATAGCACGTCCATGGAGCTCTCCGTATCTACGCGCATCCTCTTCATCGTGCACCCTGCCACTACCCCTTGAATTTCCAGCGCCTCTAAAGAAGGTACCCCGTAAGCTTCTTCGGGCACTTGGTTGAAGCTAATGCACACCCCCTCGTGTCGATCGACCGATGCCGCTCTCAGGCGCCTGCTAGCTTCCAACTTGTCTCTCAAATCCAAGGTGCCAGTAATCGCGTCCACCGTAAGCCTCACCTTTTCGGGCGCCTTCTCTTGATCCAGCTCAAATGGAGGTGGGGGGAGGTCTTCCTTGGGTCCCGCTCGGGCTACATATGCCCTATGCACCCTCTCTTCCGGTTTTTTGACGAACTCGTTGAGCATGCCCCTGTCCACCAACCCTTGCAACTCAGTCTTCAACTGATAACAATCAACTGTATTGTGCCCTCGTTCTCGATCGAAGTCACAAAATCGATCCAAATTCTGTGGGTTGGGCTGCCCCCTCATAGGCCCTGGCCATCTCACGTGGTACCCCTTATCCTTCACATACTGCAGCACGGTCTTTGGTGAGTCGTTGAGCTCTGTGAATTGATTTGCTCTGGGCGCCGGGCGTCCCTGATCACTCCTTCGCACCGGCGCGACCGATGTTCCTCCATAGAAAGGCCTAGACTCGGGCGCCTGCCTTCGTCCTCCATCTCCTTCCTCACCCCTAGGGCGGCGCCTGTCGGCCCGTCTTGACGCTAGCGCCTCCTCCAACACTATAACTTTCTGCACCCTACGATCCAAATCTTCCGTAGACACTACATCCCTTTTAGCTAGCGCCCGACAAAGCTCCTCACTGGTGGTGCACTCCTCGAGGAGAACCCCGAGCACCGGGGGTTGCACGTCTCTTACTGCCATGGCCACCGGGATCCACCGCTCATAGAACTCCCTCAAAGTTTCCCCCTCCTTCTGCTTGATCTTGAACAGGGAGCCCACGGTCAGTGTGCGCCTCTTTCTACTTGCGAACTTTGCCAGGAACATCGCCGCAAATTGCTCAAAGCATTCTATGCGCCCTTCCTCGATCTGATGGTACCAATCTAGTACCACGCCTGAGAATGTCGAGGGGAACACCTTGCATAAAGTTGCGTCCGAACTGTTGTACAGCTGCATTTTGGTGAAGTAGCTGTTAAGGTGGTCGTCCGGGTCCGCCGTACCATCATAGGTGGGAAGCGGCGGAATGTTGGTACTGGCGGGCTCCATGAGCACGCTCTTGGCCAAGGGCTGCCTTACCACAAACTGTCGAGGCGGGCGCCCCGGCATCCACACGTTCCTCTCTCCCTCGGAGTCTCCATAATCGGCCAGGCGCCTCATGCTGGCCAAGCGCCTCAGTGAGCTGGACTCCCCTTCAGCCTCCATCGTACGCTCCCTCTTCCTTGCTCCGGGACTTGGGGCGCCCTCTTTCAACATTTCCACCTCTCTCCTCAACATCCCGATGGCCTCGTCTTGATCAGCTATGATCTTGAACAGTTCCTTCTTAGTCACTGAGGCCCCATCTGAATCCGGGCGCGGGCCTTCACTTCCTTCATCCTCCCCCATGCTGGGCGTTCCTCCTCCTGCTTCTTGAGACGCCTCCCCCATGAGTTGCTCCTCCATCTCACTTCCACCCTCTTCCATGGGAACTAGGCGCTTTCTGGTTGTGTTCTCCCCCTTCCTGGCGCGCCAATTGTTGATGCCCGCTTGATCTGCCTACCTCCCTTCCGTACCAGCTGACTCCCTCGAGATTAAGCCTGCACTCACAGAGCTGGGCCTTGTGGCCCGTTAGTCCTCCAACGCTCAAGTCAGTATCTTTCTTAGTGAGAGAAGTGCTTGTAATGCACAATTTTAGTGAGAGAAGCCCAATTGAGTAAATGCTTACCCACCTCCCTATTTATAGCCGATCATTGCTTACCTGGACCTTCCCGTACGGATTTCCACGTCACCCTTGCCTTTAATGCGAGTGACCCAGGGCGCTCCCTCCGAAGATGATTCCAGGCGCCCTCTTCGAGTGTACACAACTTCCAAGTGCACCCCTAGGCGCCTAACGTGCGAGTACCCCTAGGCGCCTGGTGTACACAACTCCCAACTTGCTCTTCTGATCTAAGCCCGCGGGCGCCTATCGTGGCCCACTCCCGTCTTGAATGAGCTCACCTTTCCTCGGACTATTTGGGCTTCGTGCCTCTTAATGGGCCTCATCCACATATCGAGGCCTTCTTATTCGTATACCCCCAACACTTACATTTAAAATACACTTATCCAAACGCACCCTAAGAGAATTTAAAGTGAAATTATAGAGCTGGAACCATAAGCTAAAGAAGGAGACTGAAGGAGAGAAGAAGAAATTAAGGGGGAAAAGAGCTGCTTGCTAATCGTGGAAAGCTTTGGAATGAAGGATGGTGGGCAAAACAAGAAGGCAAAAGCCACCTTCGGGAAAACACGCAGGGGAAATGCTTTTGATGTGGAGAAGATGAAGCCCCATTTCTTCAGGGTCATGTTTGATTCCATGCTAAAAGATGCCACAATTGTAAGAACTCTTTTCGCCTCATTAATCCTTTCCGGTACGACGGATGATTTCCTTGTTCTGCGACATTTTCTATAGTTGTTCAGTCTGGTAGCTGAAAAGTCTTGTTTAGGGTTTCATAAAAGAAGCAGATGTATAGAATCTAGCGTGTAACTAGCTTTCTGTTGTTGGGCTGCATTGCTTTTCGAAATGGGTTTTGTTTTCCCTATCTGATCAAGTAACCCGCATCAAGAACCCACAAATTGTTGCTTTGTATCAGTACATTCCAACCGAGTTTGTGAAGAACTATAGATCCAGGCTAGGCAGCTCTGTAAAGTTGAAGGTTGCTAATGGTGATACATGGGAAGTTGAGCTGGCAGCTGATGATGATGGGCTGATTTGGTTGGTCAAAGGCTGGGAAGACTTCACAAAGCACCATTGTGTGAAGCAAGGTGATATTGTGGTGTTCCGGCTAGAACAGGACAGCTTATTTCACGTCATGGTGTTCGAACCCACTGGGAGTGAGAAGAAGTACAGTAGTGAGCATGTAAATAACCATGGAAGGCTGCTTAATGTCAAAGTTGAAGAGGAGATTGATGTGGGGAAGGATACAGGTTGTGGAACTTTTTGAGAACATTTGGCAATGTACAGGGCATTGTATTGTTGAACAGAACGTTCTGTACACGAAAGACTAATGCGGAAATTTGTATCTTTCCATGGACCAATCCCTGCAGAAAAGCTCAAGGAAGTGCAAACCAAGAAGCGTGGTAGAGAAGAGAAGAGGAATGCAAATTTGGCTGCTCCACTTGAGATTCCAAACCATCCATTGGAGACAAAAATGAGAGGTAACACTTACTATCTGCTTTGTTTTCTATGAAGCTGTGAGTTTTTTAACCTTTCCAAATGGGCAAATTGAGTTGAATGTTCTTTTAACCTTACCATACACATTGTGTTGTGATCGATGCTACGAGTTGGTGTAACCTCGGCAATACAAAATTCGGATCAACATGGTGAGTTGAATGCTTTCATGACTCCATATGATGCAGGAGCACCGAGACCAAGGAGGGACGATCCCTCAACAAGCTCGACAAATCCAAGCTTCTCCATTACCATAACAGAGTATAACATGAAGAGGGGCTTTACAGTAAGTTGATTCATTCATATCAAAGGGATAGAAATTTATTTCAAGCAGGCTTCGTCTGCACCATAAAAATTTGACGATATCTCTCTCTTGCTGACTGTGAAGACCTTGCCGACTGCTTTCGTGCACAACCACATGAGGCCTGAAAGTGGCCCTGTGAAGGTTTCTGCTGAAGACGGGTCGGGTTCGTGGGACTTGTCCTTTATCTTCAGTGGACGCACTGGACGCACCCATGGACGGGGCCATTTCGGTGGAGGTTGGCCTGCGTTCCGCAGGGACAACTCTCTGGAGCTAGGAGACGTTTGCAGGTTCGAGCTCACCTCCAATGGCCAAATGAAGGTGACTGTCAAGAGGCATTGAGGCTGTGGTTTGGTTTGCTTGTGTTTGAAGCTTTTGTGGTTTAGGGATTAATGCGTTAAGTTAGAAAAGTGCTAACTGCTAAGGCTGTGCTAGTGCTTTGTTTTGGGATCCTGGAGTCCCCCATGAATTGTGTTTGACGGCTTAACAGTACTTTTAGCTACGATGCTCAATAGGTTTTTTTGTTAATGTATCTATCTAATGTGAATAAAGGCACGATTCAACGACATAAGTACATGTTAAAAAATCATTGTAAACACGCTAACCGAAGTGGTGACCAACGATAATAATAGGGCAATAGATACAACATTCTTTCAATGTAATCAAATGCAACAAGACTAACATCTGAAACTAACTTGATAACAGAGTTTTGCCCTGTATAAACATAAAACAAAACACATGGCGTGCTTCAGAAACTGAAGCAAAACATCAACAAACGCCTTACCAAATTACACTATCTCATGAATTCTCTAGTTAAAAACTAGCATTGGCTTCATAAGCCATTAATAAACACACAAAATGGGCAAACACAACAAACTCCATTCTAGAGGCTCTCAAACTTTCAGCATATCCAACCAGCTCTAATTGTGCTGAATAGTTACTTTCATTAGGCCATCGGAGATGAGCTCAAACCGGCAAACATCCCCTGGTTTCAGAGTGTTGTCCCTGGAGAATGCGGCCCAACCGCCAGCGAATGAGCCCTGCCCGCGTCCACGTCCACGTTTACATGGTTGATGAAAGACAAAGGACAACTCCCATGAGCCGGACCCGTCTTCAGCGAGAACCGTCATAGTACGATTTTTGGGCATAGTACCATTTTTAGGCATCATGTGTTCAAACACAAAAATAACTGGCAGGCGCTGCACGATCAAAGAGAGGTAGCTTTCAAATTTTGGTTATGCAGAACTTGCTCCCCAAAATAAAAAAAAGGTGAATTCGTTCGATGGAAATGAATGAACCTACAATGTAACGATGCTTCATGTGACCTTCAGTTATGGTGATGGAAAAGTTTGGATTCTTTGAGCTTGTAGAGGCATTGCCCCTCCTTGGTTCAGGTATTCCTGCACCGAATTCGATCAAATTCTAAGCATGTGAACAGATATGTAAAATGGATCAATTGAGAATGCCTGCACTCAATCTACTCTGTTGATGCAAAGCTACAAACTTGCGAAGGGTAAAAGCTAGCAGCACAGAAGACCAAGCAAATGTAAATGCATGAATCGAGAAGGAAACATTCAGCTCAGTCTGCCAAGGCAAACTTAATAATTTTTGAAAGGTCAAAAACTCACAGCACAAGACAAAGCCTATATAGTAAAAGCACCTGTCACTTTTGTTTCCAATGGATGGTTTGGGATCTCAAGTGGAGAAGCCAATGTCCCCTTTCTGTTCTCTTCTCCATCACTCTTCTTGTCCTTCACTTGCTTGAGCCGCTCTGCAAAAATTGGCGTTAAATGGACAAACAAATTTCTGTCGTGAACCTTTAAATTTTACCTCTTCTCAGCAGTTCCATACCTTCAACCTCCTCCATTCTTCCAGTTCCAACCCTCTCCTGACCCTCCCCACAACCTTTCTCTTTCTCTGCATCAATTCCCTCCTCAATTTTGACCTCCTTGAGCATCCTTACAAGGTCGTTCGCATCCTTGACATTGTACTTCTTCTCACTCGCAGTGGGATCGAACACCATTACACAAAACGAGCTGTCTTGCTCAAGCCGGAAAACCACAATATCACCTTGCCTCAAAGAATGGTGCTTCGTGAAGTCATCCCAGCCCTTGAGCAACCATATCAGCCCGTCATCATCAGTAGCCAGCTCTACTTCCCATGTCTCGCCGTTAGCCACTTTCAGTGTTGCAGAACTCCCAAGCCTTGATCTATATCTCTTCACAAACTCGGTGGGAATGTACTGATAACAACAATTTGTCAGTTCTTAGTGCCGGTTACTTGATCAGAAAGGGAAAACACAAAACCTGTTGCCAAAGCAATGCAGATGTAACAAAACAAAGCTAGTTACTAGCAAGATTTCACACATTTGCTTCTTTTATAAAACCCTAAACAAACCCAGAAGTTTTCAGCTCTGTAAATAGATTTACCAACCAGTCTGGATAACTTCAGAATATGTTGCAGAAAAAGGAAATCAATAGTGGAATGAGAAAGAATCCCAGAGGGTAAGAGTTGTATGAAAATAGGAGAAACCCCACTGGCAAGGAAATGCAAACCCACAAGCTTCATGTCTACAGAAGAGGCTAGAGGGCCATCATTCACCTATTCTTCTATATACTTGATTATAGAAACCCTAAGCAAATGCATAGAGAAATTTTCACAAAAGTCAAAACAGCCGTCAAATTGGAGTTCTTAATATACCAAGGGTGAGCAGGTAGAGAGAGGGAAAAGGAAAAGATTTCTCACAATTTTGGCATCTTGAAGCATGAAATCAAGCATGACCCGGAAGAAATGGGGCCTCATCTTCTCCATATACGAAGCATTTCCCCTGCGTATTAAGCCAAAGGAGGTTGTCTTCTTGTTCTGGCTACCATCCTCCCTTCCAAAGCTTTCCATGCTGTTGTTGCTCTTCTTCTCCTTCCCCTTCTTCTCTCTTCCTACAAGTATGAAACTGCAGCAATATACTGAAGACCTCTGTTGTTCAGCAATGGGATATTAAGTCTTTTGTAAGAGACGGTATCTTTTCCTGCAGAATAGTTGTTGAATGCTCTGATCAGTGGCATCTCCTTTATTTTTTTTGACACATACATAAGTTATTCTAACTTGTAGCCATTTTGAGAAATTGGATATTTACTCTCACCTTTTGCCACCATCAGTCCATCACATTTTAAGCTTTCCTGAAACTACTGAGGCAGTAACTCCAAAACCGTGGTCCCAAATGAAATAGAGGTGAAAAGTTCATTTCTTCTGCATCAATGTTTACTCTTTGTACTCTTTCATTAAAGAGGAGACGAGGAACCCTAACAACTACTTTAGTCCCCAAATGGATCCTGAGATTACAGAAACAGGCCACACTTTCCCACTTGGATCCTGAAGTAGGGCACTTCTCTCCATTGACAGTCTCTGAGGTTTCAGAAAAGTCAGCCTCCTTGAAGATCATGATCCTCGAAAAACATGGGCCAACTGAGTCAAGCGGAATTAGGATCAATGAGATCATGCAAGGTGAAACCAACTCTAGTCAAACAAACATGGTCCAGTCAGGACAATCTGCAAAAGCCACCGTTGCTTCCTTAAGATTCTCCTGCAGCCACACAATAATGTTCAAACAGGACGTAAAGTAGCTGCGAAAATGCATCTTTTATACCAGTCAACCAGTGACGAAAATAGCTATCTCCTTGACAAGGAACGCAGATAAAGTATTATGTCTATGCGTCAAGTTGGTGAATTTCCCTCTCTTAGACATGCTGAAACTGATTTCACAATTGCAACTGGTGCAAAGGTCTCACCAAATTCAATGCTCAATACTTGATTAGTATTCACCTTATGCATTTGGGTTCTTTTTCAAAAACCAGTATTCGATCCTCGGTACTTAGTCCATTGCCCGAAGAGGGTCTATCAGTCGTCAGCTCAAGCAAATCCAAGAATTCCTCTCATATTCATATCATATGCAGATATCAATACCTTACTCGGAGATCACAGTTTGGCATTGCCATAGAGTAGAGTTCTAGGATATTACTATAAACCTCTGGACGAAAAATGGTAGCTCCAAGCAACCACTGCTAGTATTTCTACTGCCACAACAATAGGACAAACGGACCTCCCAGCTCCAATTTCGAACATCGTCTTCGAAGATGTAAAGCACAAAATCGAGCTCCAATGTTGAAACGAATGGGCAAAATATGGTGAAGAGATTGTTCGCTTACAACCTTCTTGTCGGGAGCCATGGATATGTTTTGGAGACAGCCAGTGACTGCTGGACTGGAAAGCCTTTCGAATTCGATCCGGGGCAGAGTATCACACGGATGGATCACGAACATACAATCCACAACACAATCAAGGAAATAAGAAATGTGACAGAACTACCATCAGAAACTAAAATTTGATAACAGAGGATTACCCTGAAAAAGCCATAAAACAGAACTACTATCAGAAACTGAAATAAAGCATCAACAAATGTCTTACCACTCCCCCACATGAAACTACACTATCCCATTAATTCCCTCCATTTAAGGCTGGTAGTGGTTTCATAATCGACATCATCATCCATAAATAAACACATGTAACGAACAAACAATACTAACTCCATTCTAGAGGTTCTCAACCTTTCAGCAAAGCCGGACCTTAAGCCAACCGCCACTGAACGAGGCCTGTCCACGTCCACCTCCACGTCGTGGTAGTAAGACAAAGGAGAAGGACCATGAGCTGAGACCCTTTTCATCGGAAACCATCACTTTACGGTTTTCAGGGACAGTACCATGTTCAGGAATCATGTGTTCATACACAAACCTAGTAGGCAGAAGCTGCACTTGCAAAGAGAGAGGTGTTATGCGACACTTCCTTGGGGGGGGGGGGGGGGGGGGGGGGGGAAAGCGAATTCATGTGATGGAAATGAATGGACCTACGATGTGACGACGCTTCATGTGACTTTTATTTATGGTAACGAAGAAGTTTGGATTCTCTGAGCTTGTAGAGGCATTGGCCTTCCTTGGTTCTGATATTCCTGCATCAAATTTGGTCGAATTCTGGGCTTGTGGGAGCGTAAGTAAAATGCATCAACTGACAGTGCAAGCATTCAATTTACTCCGTTGATACTAATCTACAAATTTGCCAAGGTCAAAAGCTAGAAGAATAAAATAGCAAGCATGTAAATGCACCAATCGAGAAGGAAACATTCAAGCTTACTCCGCCAAAGCAAAATCGAGTTTGTCGAAAACTGACAGCATCAGAAAACAGATCATATAGTAAATGCACCTTCTGTTTTTATCTCCAGTGGATGGTTTGGTGTCTCAAGTGTAGCAGCCAATTTCACCTTTCTCTTCCCTTCTCCACCACTCTTCTTGGTTTTCACTTCCTTGAGTTTTCCTGCAATGATTGTTCCATGGAAAGCAACAGATTTCTGTGTTAGTCTTTCATGTTCAGAACCCTGTCAAATTTCATATTTTCTCAAAAGCTCCACTACCTGTCTCCTTCTCCACATCAAATTCGTCCTCAACTTTGATCTCATTCAACAGCTTTCCATGGCCTTTCAGATCCTTGTGGTGATAGTTCTTCTCACTGGCAGTCGGTTCGAACACCATGACGTGAAATAAGCTGTTCTGCTCTAGCCGAAACACCAGAATATCACCTGCTTCAAAGAATGGTGCATTCTGAAGTCTTCCCAGCCCTTGACCAACCAAACCATCCCATCATCATCAGTAACCAGCTCTACTTCCCATGTATCACCATTATCAACCTTCAATGTTGCAGAACTGCCTAGCCTGGATCTATATCTCTTCACAAACTCATCGGAATGTACTGATCCAAAGCAACAATCTGTCAGTTCTTGGTGTGGGTTACTTGATCAGATAGGGAAAGCAAAAAACCATTGCCAAAGAAATTCAGGCCAACAAAAGAAAGCTAGTCACAAGCTTGATTCTCACACATTTTCTTCTTCTTTATTGAAACCCTAAACAAGCATGAACAAAAGTTTCTGCTTTGGAAGTAGATTTGAAAACCTGACTGAACAACTTCAGAGAATGTTGCCTAAAAATGAAATCACCAGGAGAATCAGATAGGATCATAGAGGGAAAAGAGTTCTTACTATTTTGGAATCCTGCAGCATGAACTCAAGCATGACCCTGAAGAAATGGGGCTTCATCTTCTCCATATCAGAAGCATTTCCCCTGCGTATGAGCCCAAAGGTGGCTTTTGCCTTCTTGCTTTGCCCACCATCCTTCATTCCAAAGCTTTCCATGGTTTGCAGTAGCTCTTTTTCTCCTTCCTTTCTTCTCTCCTGCTCTACCTTATGGTTGTAGTTCTAAAGCTATGCTGAAGTTCATTTCCGTCGTCTGCAGTAGGTATATTATTTGTCTTACAGACAATAGCTTTGCCCTGAAGGGATACTCTTGAAACCTGGCAGCTTTCTGAACTTGTACCCATTTTAGGATATCTCAATTTACTTTCACCTTCTTTCTTTTACCATGAAACTTTTAAGTTTTCCATACTGTTTCCAAGAGAGCAGTAACTCCAGTAGCAGATCTGCTGTGGTCCCAAATAAAAGAGAGAGAAAAGGAGCTGTCCTTTCCATGACTACTCCTGTAAACGTATTGAGCTTCATTACAATAATTTATTTGGCCATCATCTCTCAGCAGTCAGCAGTATCATTAATCCATTCCAGTATACTTCTACAGCATGACTACATACTCTTCCCTTTGTTGCAGAGACACCTTCTGTTGACCAATTACAACCCACCATCTCGCACCTTGAAGACAGTACTTGACCTGTATTTCCTGCCCAAATGGAAGAGATGAAACTATTTATATATTCCTCGGTTTCTTTCCTTGTCAACAATTTGACCGAGGACAAGGAACTCCAACACAAACACAGCTTCATTTGAAACACAGTACATAAACGGATCCCGACTAGCTGCAGAAATCTTCGTGTCTCCACTAGCCTGAATAAGCAATCGATCTCGAAAAAAATGGAAATGAAATGAGATCATGAAATCTAACACGTTGTCACATAGATCACGCAAGGTGAAACCAGTTCTAGGCAAACAAACATGGTTCAGTTGGAACACACTAGAAAAGCACACTATTGCTTCCCTAAGGTCCTCTTGCGGCCACACAGTTATGTTCAACACTTGTCTGTCACCCAACTCTATCAGATGACAAAAGCTACATGACCCTTTAAACGGGGAAATGGATTCGGACTCGTCCGAAAGTGTCTGCTAGAATGCATCATTTGTAACAGTAACCAACGAGGAACAAGGCTATTTCCTTGACAATGCAAGAAATGCTGATCAAATATCATGTTTACGCATCAAGTTGGCCAAGATCCCACTCTTAGACATGCTGAAACTGATTCCATAATTGCAACTGGTGCAAAGGTCTCTACCAGTTGTCAGTGCAAGCAGATTCAGGAATTTATCCCATATACAATGTGGATTGCAGTGGGTATGAAAAGCGACGATCACACAGTTTGGGATTTCCATATTCAGTGATGATTATATCATCAACATAAACTAGATAGCCATTGTGAGTTGCACGTCCAAAATTGGTATACAATTATTAGTATAATTAATAGGCGAGTTTACTTAAGGGTTTACTACCCTATTTGCGAGCTCACACTAAGATTTATGGACCCCTTTTATTCCCCCATAAACCGTTCCTTCCCCCTATATTCCCCGCGACGATTTTCTGGCGATTGGCCAAGTTGGCGAGTCATATGCCTAGCCATCCTGTTTCTTCCCTCCGACGATTCATTGGATATTGGCCAAGTTGGATCCTCTTGCCGGATTTTCTACAACCGCTACTCCTCCCATCTTCTAATTGGAGATTTCACCATAAATCCCCTGCAAATAACTTTGGACTAGCCGCCAATCCTCCCGGATCATTGTCCACTCTGTTTTCCTCCGATATACTCTTGGCGGCTGAACAAGTTGGGACTCCAATTTGCATGAATATTCTTTTCAAGATCCTTCTGATCCTCGACTCCAATTGTTGACATTGGGGGCATGCAAATCGACCAGTATCAGGCGATCTCGCTGGGATTGCTCGGGCATTGTTTGATTTTTAGTGACAACCACATATCACCTCTGAAATTACAGGGGATTCTGATTAGGGACTGAAGAATTGTGGAGAGGAAGACGACATGTGCATCTCTCAAGAAAGCTCGCCAGCTCCTCAGTTCTCCAAGCGTGAGATGTGGGAGCTCAATTCCTTTCCACCAATACGCCCTCCACCCCACTCCCAGCAGCTTCTAAATAAGACTGATTTTTTCAAGGGAAAAAACAAGATTGATCTTACTCTTATTTCATCTAAACAAGATTGACTCAATTACTCTCCAATTACACATTTCATGCACATCACTCTTTTGCATGGTTGGCATAGGGTTACGTTTAAAATGAAAACATGCCACCTGTTCATCTCTATTGGCCTCATGATCGATCTCCTTTTATCATTTGTTTGATTTGTTAAAATCCATCATATACCTAACCACATTCTTATAGGTCCCACTCATTTCAATTATTTCGTCAAGCTTAATTGGTATGTTTGGGTGTTAGTAAGAAAGCATGTATAACATAAAATTCACATAGTGGAAAAAATGTATGATGTTACTATGTTTGATAAGGAAGGATCATGTAATTACATAATAATTAGATAGTGTGCTTCAAAGAAGATTCTTTGTCAAAATTAATTTTTTTTTCCAGAATAAGTCATTATTTTATCAGGCTACTATAATCCATATAGGAAACTATATGTGAAATTGTGAGTTACTCAATTAGAACATAGCAGTATTTCAAAATACTTTTTGAAATTTCAAGGGTTTGAACCATTATTATGATTCGATAACAATATTTATCGTAGAAGATAATAATATTCATAAAACACATTATAAAGTTTCATTTATTCTTCATCATGAAATTATTTTCTTGCCTCTTCATAAGATTAGGAAATACCACGCTCAATTATCATACATTCAGTTACTCCATCCAAACCCATATATAGTATAATTGGAAATCCAACTATCTACTTCGAAATCATATACAAGTGCATGAAGGCTAAAGAGATTAAACAATTGGTTATGGCCCTATTCGCACCCGTTTCAAGTTAATACATGATTTCTTTTCGACCACAAATGACCTTCACCTTGATTTAAAATTATTACTTTTCACTCCTAATTGGTAGATTTATTTTTGAGTACCCGCTGCAGAGCGCGGGCCAATTTTCTAGTTAGAATAATTAAGACGCAAGTTCACTAAAAATTCGGGCACTGTTCATCAAGAAAAAATCGGAGGTTACTGTTCACAATGGGATTCGACTTCCGTGTATATTAATTCAGGTGAGCTCATGTGTACTTATATTGGGCTGGTCAAGCCCACCGTTGATTCCTTATCCCTAATTACTTTCTCTTTCTCTACGCCTCTCTCCTGTACGATTCTTCTCTTTTGATCTTTTCCCATTTTTCAAGAAAGGTACTTTCCCCTCTCTCCTTTCACCCCCCCCTGACAAAACTGGAAGCCGCCTTCTTCTCCTCCCCAATTAATATGGAACTCCGGCGCTGTCCCCTGTCTCCTTCTCCGATCAATCTTCCAACCTAAGCTTCTTCTTCTACGCAAAAATGGAAGCCGTCGACGAGGGTTCCTCGCCTCCAAGACGACAGTTCTACTTCAACGCAAAATCGAAGCCATGGAAAGCCTTCACTCGACGGGATCCAGGTGGATTCCGACAATCTTTAGTTGGCTATCACCAGATCCGCAGTTGATGGTACCAATTGTAGTCGGTGGTGGGTTCTGCCTTGGTTCCTCGACCATCAACGAACAACCGGTGAAGGCAGTGACATCTTCCCCATTTACTGACCATCGATTTCTTCCAGCATTGATGGGTATGATCAGTTTTATGTGAATAGTACATGGACGATAGTTGGAGTTTCTCCGTAGGTTCCCTCTTTGTTGTGTACTTTTCCCCCGTTAATTGTTGGTTGTCTTTCTTTTTTCCTTTTTGCATGAAACTTAGGGAATGCATCTCTTTCAGAATGTTTTACATTATTTTATTCATCTTGCATTTGGAGTTTATTTCACAATCTAGACCGACTCAACCATGGGAGATGGATGAGAGCTCTGTTTGCAATCTGACAATGTTCTTGGGAGGCCATTACAAAGCCATTTAGTCATTTAGTTTAGTCTTTATTGGCATGACTATTTACTAATTTAGTAATTAATTACTAAGCCATCTTTGCTTTCTGATCATACATTGTAATGCATTCTTCATACCAAACCCACAGAATGAATGCTTAAGACTCGGCGAATAGAGCATGGTGGTTTGTCCAAATCTATCAAATTTAACTTGCATGATGATTAGAGGATATTTAGGACATTGATGGTCGAATCCCTGATGAGCTCTGGAGTTTCACCTTCCTCACTGCTCTGTAAAAAGCTCTCCATCCATCACTTTAAATAATCCAATTCTTCATCTTCTTTTGTCCGTTTCAGCTGGTGGGTCAATTTATATGAACATGGTTGGTTTTGTGTGATGAAATGAAAATGTGAATTTGGTTCGAAATCTCCTGTTATATCAATTCACAATTTGATCAAATGTCGTGGCTATAAGTTTGGTCTTTACTTTGTTGTCATTAACTTAAGACTGATGAATTTTTCTTTTACTAACTCTGAAGTGTTTAGGTATTCCAGAAATTCGGATACTAATCATTTCAACGGGTCATTCCCCAGGAGTAGGAAGGTTAGGTTGCTTACTGATTTAAGATCATGGTGTAGTTAAGACTACCTACTAACGTCTCTTTTGATGATGTGCTTAGTTTGTTCATTCTTTCTGATTATCTATCTCCTGTGGCTCTAGAATATGTTTGAAGAGGTCCACCCTTAGTAAGCAGTGGACGACTTGGTTTATGCCCAAATTATGAAAACAAATAAGGACACCCTTCCTTTCTTGATGCACTATTACAATACAAAACTTCCTTGAACCAGACGAATAAATTCCTGTTCTTCACTTATGGCAGATCATATGCTATTTATAATCTTTGAGAGAAATCTGCGGCTAATTGATTAGGATTATATACACAGTTAGACATCTTAAGTTTTGTTTTGGTTGCTTTTGTGTTTGTACTTTCAAATCACATGCAACTAGAATTGTGAACTGCAACAAATGGGTTATCTGTGTTATATATAAGCTTAAATTCTCAGTGATGTGATGCATTTAGTTGATGATTGAATCCATTGGAATATTGTTATTCTCATTGCATTGCTAAAATGAGTAGATAAATTTTCTACGTATAATTAATTTCTTATCGCAGCGGAGCGCGGGCCACAAAACTAGTACTTCTTTAACCGTAGAGAATTCAACAACAAACAAAAAGAATACAGAAAGAACAGAGTATCCATGAGAACCAACAGTAATCATGGGTCTAAATAAGGTAATCATGGGTGTAGCGCTGTCAAAAATGAATGATGATACGAGGGTGGAGGTGCATAAGCAAAAAAAATTCGAATTTGGTTTTGTAAGTGCTTGTTGCTGAAAACCAACAGTAATCATGGGTCTAAATAAGGGTTAATTGCAAGGATGGTCACTGGGTTTACTAAAACCGTTCATGTTTGGTCACTGCAAATATTTAATTTCATTCATGGTCATTAAGATTAGTTCAATAGTTCAAGTTTGGTCACTCTCCGTTAGTCTCCGTTAGTTTTTGCTGATGTGGCAGTCAACTATTATAGTTGACCGTTAAATGAGTGACGTGGCCAATAAAAAATAATAAAATAATAAAATAATAAAATTTAAATATTTACAATTTCCACCTCATTTTACAACAATTAAAAAAAAAAAAAAATAAAACTTACCTCCTCTGGCCGTCGAGTGGCTCCGATTGTGCTCCCCCTGCTTGGAGGAGGGCAGTCCTCGGTGATGGCTTTATCTCTCTTGATCACAAGGTGTTGAATGATCCTTTCATCCTGGTCTAGCATGGTCTTGAACTCATTGATCCATCTAGCTTCAATCTCGAAGTTCATCAGAATGTAGTGAGCGTTCTTGGCTTTCTGAATCTTGTATGCCAGCCTTCTCATCCCCCAGTCGTTCATTCTCCATATCTTCCCCTTCTTCTCCCTCAGGAAATCTAGCCAGAAACCAAGGCTTCTTTTAACAAGGCATTGATGAAAGAAAGAACATTTCACCAAATCTAAAAATTCAACTCTGTATAAGGAACATAGTCATTCACTCTACCTTGAACCTTCTCATTCACAGCATCAACTTCTTCAGCATGCTTCTCATGGATTAGATAAACCACTTCGTAATGCCGCACTATGAATACAAAACAAAGGAAACAGATAAGAACAGAACCCTCAATTCAACCATAGAAGTACCTTCTGAAATGAGCTAAAAACCCAGTATATTGGTGGGGGAAACTGAACGCGGAACAAAAGGAAATGTTGTATTACATACTCAGGTTGTCCTTCAAATCGCTCTGAAGCTCCAGGTTAAGAAAGTCGTATAGCTCTTCTGTAGAAATCAAACGAACAATTACCCATCACAACCACAATTCATCAATTTCTTCAAGAGAAACAACACGGGGATAGAGATAACGAGTTTTACCTTCTTCGTCATCAGCGAATTCGGGCATAACGCTGTCGTCTTCCTGCACTTGCTTCTGCAAATCCATGGCAGCATAGAGAGCTTAATTCGAGAGGAATAAAGATAAAAAGGCAAAACCCCACTACCCAGTAAAACCCCCTGGAAATGGCGAGAGAGATTTACCTGCCGGAGAAGAACGGCTTCGGGGAAAGGTCCTGTGGATTCATCTTGTTTGGGAGCGAAGTAATGGCTGTCGTCGTCGTATTTCTTGTCTTTCTTCTTCCGAGCGCGAACTGCGGCGGTCGATTTCCTCCTCAAATTGAGGAACGGCAGAGGAGCGGAAGGAGAAGAGGAGGAAGAGAAATGAAGGGGGAAGTTGAAGGAGAAGGCAGAGTTCGCCTTATCGACGGCCACTCGACGGCCAGAGGAGGTAAGTTTTATTTTTATTTTTATTTTTTAATAGTTGTAAAATGAGGTGGAAATTGTAAATATTTAAATTTTATTATTTTATTATTTTTTATTGGCCACGTCACTCATTTAACGGTCAACTATAATAGTTGACTGCCACATCAGCAAAAACTAACGGAGACTAACGGAGAGTGACCAAATTTGAACAATTGAACTAATCTTAATGACCATGAATGGAATTAAATATTTGCAGTGACCAAACATGAACGGTTTTAGTAAACCCAGTGACCATCCTTGCAATTAACCCGTCTAAATAAGGTGATAAAGCAATAGTCTTTAGATTAAACCAAATGCAACCAGACTAACAAAAGCCTTCCCGAAGCCTTAGCCCTTCTCAAATCAAGATTATACCATCCCATTCATCCACTAAACTAAAAACCAGTAGTCTCATAATCATCGATAACCACTCAAGGTAACAGGCACAACAAATTCCCATTCCAGACTGACAGTAACTCCAGCAAATCAATCGTCCTTAACCCCTCAGAATAGTCACTTTCATTTGGCCATCGGAGATGAGCTCAAACCGGCAAACATCCCCTGGTTTCAGAGAGTTGTCCCTGGAGAAAGCGGGCCACCCGCCATTAAACATGCCCTGTCCACGTCCATTACCACTTCGCGGATAAAAGGCAAAGGACAAGGGCCACGAGCCGAGCCCCTCATCACCGAAAACCATCATAGTACGATTTTCAGGCATCATGTGTTCGAACACAAAATTTGTCGGCAGACGCTGCACATTCAAAGGGATAGAGAAAGCCTTCAAATATGGTTATTTGAAACTTGCTTGGAAAATAAGAAGGTGAAATCGTTTGATGGAAATGAATGAACCTACCATGAAGCGATGCTTCATGTAATATTCACTCATGGTGATGGAGAGGTTTGGATTCTCTCCAACTGTGACGGCATTATCCCTCCTTGGTTCCGGTATTGCTACATCGATTTCAACCGAGGGTTTGAGCTTGTGGAAGCATATGTAAAGTGCATCATCAAATGAGAATATAAGCATTCAACTCTAACTCTATTGATGCAGAACTACCTACTTATGAAATTCCTAAAAACTGACGGCAATGTGGAAGACCTAAATGTTACCTCTATTTTTTGCTCCCATTGGATGATTTGGGGCCTCAACTAGAGAAGCCAATTTCCCCTTTCTCTTCTCTTCTGCACCACCCTTCTTGTTCTTCACTTGCTTGTGCTTTCCTGCAATAGATGGTGTTAGATGGACAAACAAATTTCTGACTTAAACCTTTTAGACTTTAACTGTTCTCAATAGTTTCATACCGTCAACTTCCGCAATTCTTCCAGTTCCAACATTCTTCTGACCTTCCCTATGGCCTTTCTCTTTCCCCACATCAATTCCCTCCTCAACTTTGACATCATTGAACTGCCTTTCAAACTCATTTACATGCTTGAAATTGTACCTCTTCTCACTCGCAGTGGGATCGAACACCATTACAAGAAACAAGCTGTCTTGCTCAAGCCTGAAAACCACAATATCACCTTGCTTCAAAGTATGGTGTTTTGTGAAGTCTTCCCAGCCCTTGACCAACCAAATCAGCCCATCATCATCAGTAGCCAGCTCTACTTCCCATGTATCACCATTAGCAACCTTCAATGTTGCATGGCTTCCTAGTCTGGATCTATATTTCTTTGCAAACTCCGTAGGAATGTACTGATACAACAGTACAATTTTTTCAGTTTATTGATAAAAAAGAAAAGAAACCCTTTGGTAAGGAAATACAACAGTACAATTTTTTCAGTTTATTGATAAAAAAGAAAAGAAACCCTTTGGTAAGGAAATGCAAGCCTACAAGTTTCATGTCTATGGAAAAGAGGTAGTAGAGCTGGTTTACACCATTCACCTATTCTTCTAACGGTTAGTTGCGGTTAGTACCCTAAAACTTTTCCCTTTCTCTCTCTTGTTCAAATTTCTCTGCTCTCTCTATTTTTTCAATCTCCCAGGGCTGCCGCCGGCACATCTTGGTGACCGGCGGTAGCCCAACCCTCCTTTTCGTTTTCGCTTTCCTTTCCTGCTCTCCGTCCTCTTCCTCTGTGTTTCCATGTCTTTCCTAGCCATCTATGGCATTTTGCAGCCGTTGTGGCTTTTCCCGTTCCCGAAGTGGTTCTTTCCACATTCCTCTCGTTTGGAGGAGGATTTGTCCGGTTCCTTCACTAGATCTTCTAGATCTGGTTTGGCCCTGCTCTGTTCTGGGTTCAGAGGATGCAGATTGGGTTTCTATCCAAGCGTGGTGTGGTCATCTTCTCTTCCTTTGGGGTGATTGCATTCACCGATTCCCCATCCGTCGTCGCTCCTCGATGCTTCGACTGACTGTGGGGGAAGCGGTGTCTCCTTCGATTGCTGAGGTGGGTGATCTTTGGTTGCAGTTGTTATGAGATTCATGCAGGGTTTCGTTTGTTCCTCTTTTTGTTTGTTGTTGGGAGTGTTGCTGGGGCTGCTTCTTTGGGTTCTGGGTTTGGGTTTGTTTTGGGGTTCTCTGTTGGTGTTTGGTTTTGCAGGTGGTCTCTGTTCTCGGTTCTGCTTTGTGTGGTTGTCTTTCGACCCTTGGGTGAATCTCACACTACTGTTTCTTGGCTCTCTTCGTCCCGGTCCCGTTGGCCTTGTTTTCAGCTCTGAGCAGCCCGTTCACAGTCGTTTCCACCGCCGTGCAATCCCTATTCGGCGATTCACTGTGATGGGTGTCTTTGAACAACCCCCAGCAGGCGGCATATGATTTAGCAATGCCTTTTTCATGGTCAAGACTGGTTTGGGTGAGCTGGAGATGCTGTGTTCCACTCTGGTTGATGTGATTACAAAGTTTGCTCATTCCTGTGTTTTGGCTCATGGAAGGATCCCCTTGTTGTTTCTGTTCTTGTTGTGTTGCCTTCTGTCTTTTTTGGCTTTTTCCTTGTCGGAGTTCTCTGGATGTTTGATGTTATCTGCTGGTTGGTTTGGGTTTCCTTTCTTGTTTGGGGTTTTTTCTTGAAGCTGGATTTCAGGGGTTTTCCTCTTCTTTGTAACTGTGTTCCATCCAAGTGAAATACAAGCAAATCTTTGTCAAAAAAAACCCTATTCTTCTACACACTTGATTTAAAAACCCTATTAAAATCCATAAAAAAGTTTTCATCTGGTGAAACAGACTGGCATCCAAGAGTCGGAAACAGCAGAATATACAGCAGTGAAAGTTAGAGTTGATCACATAGACACATACTTAGGTAAACAGCTAGAGAGGGAAAATGATCACATACTAGCAGGGAAAGTTGGAGAATATTCTTACAATTTTGGCATCTTTTAGCATGAAATCAAGCATCACTCTGAAGAAGTGAGGCTTCATCTTCTCCATATCAGAAGCATTTCCCCTGCGTATCAAGCCAAAGGTGGTTGATGTGCTCTTCATTTGGCTACCATCCTTCATCCCAAAGCTCTCCATGTTGTTTGTCGTTTGCCCGTATCTCCTTTGCCTTCTTCTCTCCTTTATCTTATGGTTTCACCTGTATATACTATTTACTGAACCTTTATGTGTGCTCTTTTCTCACAGAAGTCCTAAAAGATCATATCTTTTGCCCTGCAGGTTCGGTTTAATACTCTGAAGATCATAGCAAGGTCCCTCCTTTAGTCCTTTTCCCGTTCCTTACATGAGCCGTCCTTTAACTTGTATTGTATCCATTTTAGGATGTAAAGCTTTTGCCCTCACTTTTTTACCACCATCATATTTTGAGCTTTGCTCACTTTTCCCAAGGGTCTGAAACAAAGTGAAATGACTAATGAGCTTTTACTTCTTTCCAACAGCAAATTTCACCATTGTGTCCTTCCATTGATGCCAAAACTGAAACCAAAAGAAACAAGCTTTAACCTACGATAGGACTGATTCAGTCTGCACAATGACACCTAAAAGGAAATACCACAAAGTCCCAATTTTCCGCCCTGCATTCAGAGAACTCCAAAACGGAGAAGCTAAAAAGCCTAAGCCAGCGAATCCCATGCTCTCGTGACTTCCCTTTCATGTCATCCATACCCACAAGCTATCACTATATACAATCCATCATATTCAACATGAACTCCAACAATTTATTCTCGGAGAATAACTTAAATTGGCATAGCAGAAGCATTTGGTATCTTTGTTTAGGAGCCATAGTAATCTCAATTGGTAGCATTAGGCAGAGCAGATTTACCAGTAAGTTATTTCCTTGACGATATAAGAAATGATGATGAGTATCATGTTTATGCATCAATTTGGTATACCTTCCACTCTTTACGACTTGAGAAACTGGCTATAGAGTATCGAAAAAGTTAGTCTTCTAACAGGCCATTTTGTTAGGAGATACTGACAGGGTCAGATTTTGGGCCACGTTTGCTTGGGCTTCATCCAACGGAGGAGAGTGGCGGCTGGGTGGTGGCTCACTTAAATGAGCTGGAGATGGGCTTCCGTGTAGAAGCCGGCCCAGCATGCGGCTCAGAAGGCGAGCCGAGCAAGTGGCGTGGTGGGCCCGGCTTCAGTTTGGGCGGGATTTTGGGTTGGAGTGGAAAGAGAACGAAATTTTTGGGCCCCATGTGATATATATGTATGTTTGTTTGTGTGGATATTTATTTGTTTTCAGTCGATATTATTATGTGTTGTGTTGATATTACTTTGCATCATTGTTGAAATGAACTAGCATTCTTCCTTCGCAAACCAATATCCATCATTAAATTAATATTTACCAAACCCCAAAATAACCCAACCACTCAAAACTGATTACACCAATTTAGAGTTAAGTTTTAGGGTTTATGGTTCGGTTTTCAATTTGTGAAGGATTGGAATATTGTTTCTTACATCAAATTAAACACACTAGGAAATTAAACACACTAGGAAATTAAACACGTAAGGCTTGCAACCTTCGTTAGGGATGCCCGTCGAGGGCCCATGGGTCGAAGGCCCATTAAATAATAATAGTTTTATGGTTTAGGGTTTGTGTAATTGTTTAATGTTAAGGGTTTATTGTCTACAATTAGGGTTTGAGGTATAGGGTTTGAGTTTTGGTTTCGGGTTTAGAAGAAAATATTGTGGAAATGATTTTGAACACAATGTATGGTGGTCAATTTTAGTGTGTGGTGATAATATATTATTATGTGATTGGAGGATATTAGTTCATGATGTGTGGATATTTTTGCTGTGTAGTCGGATATTAGTCTAAGACATCCATATATTAATCTGTGTGTGGTGGGTATTAGTCTGTCTGTAGTGGGTATTAGTCTATCATGGAGACGATATTAATTATGGTATCATCGGATATTAGTCTTAGAGGGTGGGATATTAGTCTGGGTGGCGTGGACATTTTTTTTTATTGTGAAAGGATATTAGTCTGGTTTGGTTTGGATATTTGTTTTATGTGGTGTTTATCTATGTTTATGATTTAGTGATTATAATTTAGGATTTAGTTTTTGTGGTTTAGTGATTATGGTTTATTTTTTTAGGAATTAGGGTTTAGAGTTTATATGTAGTTGGTTGGGATTTGATTTAGGTTTTAGAAGACGATATTGTGGAAATTTTTATGAATACAATGTAGGGTGGTTCGATATTTGTTTATGGGTTTGAGTTTTGGTTTCGGGTTTAGAAGAAAATATTGTGGAAATGATTTTGAACACAATGTATGGTGGTCAATTTTAGTGTGTGGTGATAAGATATTATTATGTGATTGGAGGATATTAGTTCATGATGTGTGGATATTTTTGCTGTGTAGTCGGATATTAGTCTAAGACATCCATATATTAATCTGTGTGTGGTGGGTATTAGTCTGTCTGTGGTGGGTATTAGTCTATCATGGTGACGATATTAATTATGGTATCATCGGATATTAGTCTTAGAGGGTGGGATATTAGTCTGGGTGGTGTGGACATTTTTTTAATGGTGAAAGGATATTAGTCTGGTTTGGTTTGGATATTTGTTTTATGTGGTGTTTATCTATGTTTATGATTTAGTGATTATAATTTAGGATTTAGTTTTTGTGGTTTAGTGATTATGGTTTATTTTTTTATGAATTAGGGTTTAGAGTTTATATGTAGTTGGTTGGGATTTGATTTAGGTTTTAGAAGACGATATTGTGGAAATTTTTATGAATACAATGTAGGGTGGTTCGATATTTGTTTATGGTGATAAGATATTATTATGTGATGGGAGGTTAGATATTAGTCTCTGTGTGGTGGGTATTAGTCTATAATGGTAACGATATTGATTATGGTATCATCGGATATTAGTCTTAGAGGGTGGGATATTAGTTTGGGTGGTGTGGACATTTTTTTTATTGTGAACGGATATAAGTCTGGGTGGGTTTGGATATTTGTTTGATGTGGTGTTTATCTACTTATTTGTATATGATTACATCAATTTAGGGTTTAGTGTTAGGGTTTAGACTTAAGGACTTAGAATTAGGGTTTACGGTTTAGGGTTCGGGTTTTGATTTAGGGTTCAGATATTAGTCTGTGTGTGGTGGGTATTAGTCTATCATGGTGACGATAAAATTATGGTATCACCGGATATTAGTCTTTAACGGTGAGATATTAGTCTGGGTGGTGTGGACATTTTTTTTATTGTGAACGGATATTAGTCTGCAAAGTCGGATATTAGTCTGGGTTGGTTTGGATATTTGTTTTATATGGTGTTTATCTATGTTTGTTTGTGTTGATATTTAGTTTTAACAAATCCGTAACAAAACAAAGTCGTTTTTCGACAAACCGCGATACAACTAGTATTCAGTGTCATTCCAACTTTGCAATCTCATAATCTAAAATCCGTAAAAGTACAACCACAAAAATGAAAAAGGAATAGTTCAAATGTTGTCTTGCTTGGCCAAACTTTCGATAATATTTTTGATCATATCCCTCAAAGCCCGCCGTGTTCGATCATGCCATTTTGGGGTGTGGATAATTGTTATGCTGAACGGATATTAGTTTGCGACGTTCGGATATTTAGGCTGGGTGGTTTGGATATTTGTTTTGTGTGAATGGATATTAGTATGTGATGGTTAGACATTAGTCTGTGTTGTTTGGATATTTGTTTTGTGTGGATATTTATCTACATAATTTATATTATTGTTGAAATGAACTAGTATTTAGCATCCCCAAATCACAAAATGTATTCCATAACAAAACACTGGTTTTCATGTATCAGGACACTAATATCCATACATGGCAGAGTAATATCCTGATTGGGAGAAAAAAATATCAATAGATAACATAACTAATATCTGGACAACCAATTGCATACTAGAATCCACATCATCAACAAATTGAATCCCAAATACCCCATGTCTAATCCCAACTACATGGGCATTATAGTGCCAGAGTAAAAGATTAGCCGCAATGAGTGCTCCTTGTCTTCCATTATGCAAAATCCCTGAAGCACATACAAATATTTGGTAAACATAGAAAAATATCCAATAAAAAGCAGACAAATATCCAAACATGGAGGACAAATATCCAGACATAATATTTTTCATATCTGGACATCAAAAACTAACATAATAGAAGTAATATCCAGATACAAACAAATAAGTATCCAGACATAATATAAAAAATATCTCAACCGCGCAAAACAAATATAAGTGAACTAACATCCATATAGGGCAGAGAAATATCAAGACAGAGTAAACAAATATCCAGACATCACATAACTAATATCACGATGCGCAGGTCTAAATAACTGAATTATATGGTTCCCACTGCCACTACTAAGTTTAGAGACAGAAAAATTATGTAACAATGCAACTGAACACTCAATATGTGATTTAGTTGTTTCTATATAAAAAAAAGTGATTTAGTTGTAACGAGAAAAAAAAAAGAAGGTTAAGTGGCCAGTAGTATGCAACAAAATCGATATTTATATGGTATGCAATGTAGTTAATCCACTTTTTGACTTTTTATTTATCATTGAATCTGCTTTCAACAACAAAATAATAACTAGGGCTAAATGGATACTTCATGCAAACAAATTCAATGGAGGCCTTACCCCATTGCTTTAAGTATTGGCTTTCAGCGTATACGACATAATATGTTAGCTCCTCTCAATGAAAACCACTGTTTAATAATTCTATCCGATGTCACGCTGTTTGATAATTCATTACCATGTTTATGGGGTCTTTTTAGAGTTAGTTTTGAGCGATAATCATGACAGTGTCACATGATAATTCATGACCATGTTCCTATTAATGAAATTCACTGTATGATAATTCATTATCATGTTCATAGTGTCTTTCTAGACTTTTAATTTTGAGTGATGCCGATGATATGTTAATGTGCTTCTTGATGCCTTCGTCTTTGGGTACTCTTGGATGTGAAGATCGGAATTGTAGCTTGTAAGTTCACACAACTCTCGACTCAAATGAAGTAATGAACTAAAATTGATGTTTAAAATTTTATTGTGCAAACCGTCGATAATGATCCATCGATAACTACATGCTTACAAGCTTCGTGCTCACTACACAACAATACGTTCGTGTAACGAGGGTTTTGTGTTTTCTTGTTCACAAAATCAAAAGCATACATCAAACACTTAAAATTTAAAACGATCGATTACACATTGAGATACAAATTGACGTTTGAAAGATCACTATGAAAGACGAGTTCCTCAAGGAAAGGCTTCAAAATTCCATATCTTATTAGGCAATTAGTGAATAAGAACTAAAAAGATCATATTAAATACTGGACTGGGTCTGGGTAGGAAGGGTAGTTCGTTCATTTCTCAACTCACTGGGACAAGGGTCGGCAGTAGAAGACGAGATGTAAGTTAAATACTTGCCCGAGTTGAACGCTATTTTTCTTTGATTAGTTGAACGCTAAACCAGTCGTGATTAGTAGGGAAATGGGTCCAAATCAAGAGGTTTTGTAAGTCACGTTGAAACGGGACATTGCTAAATCAGAATTATGGATCTTTCCTCAACTTCCACAATCTGAATGCAATCAGCTCGCTATGTTGAATGTTCCCCTGCCTGGATCGGCTGGTGTATAAAAAGGCAGAGTATGTTAACCAGAGAAGTCACCAACCTTCTCTTCTATTTCATCATATATATCTCAATTGAGTTCCACCAAAGCATTCCACAAATGGCAGTCCCGAAAAGCAAGTTGTTCTTAGTGGCTTCCGTCTTCATTCTCGGCGCTTTGGCTTCTCAAGCGATGGCACGCTACACACCTGACGAAGCTTCCATGCGCCTTAGGCACGAGCAGTGGATGACTCGTTATGGACGAGTATACGGGAGTTCCCACGAGAAGGAGGTACGATACCAGATATTCAAAGACAATGCAGCTCTCGTCGACTCGTTCAATGCCGCTGGAGACAAGCCTTACAAGCTGGGTACCAACCAGTTTGCGGATTTGACGAACGAGGAGTTCAAAACGACCAGGTGCAGGTTCAAGGGTCACATGTGTTCCCCGCAGGAAGGATCATTCAGGTATGAAAATGTGAGTGCAGTGCCGACCACCATGGACTGGAGGAAGAAGGGAGCCGTCACTCCGATCAAAGACCAAGGCCAGTGCGGAAGTTGCTGGGCGTTTTCAGCTGTGGGCGCAATGGAAGGAATCACTCAGCTCAGTACCGGCAAATTGATATCTCTTTCGGAGCAAGAGTTGGTTGATTGCGATACCAAAGGAGAGGACCAAGGTTGTGGTGGTGGGTTGATGGATGACGCTTTCAAGTTCATTATCCAGAACAAGGGCTTGACCACCGAGACCAATTATCCCTACACTGCTGCCGATGGATCCTGCAGTGCTAGCAAAGAAGGAAATCCCGCTGCTACGATCAAAGGATATGAAGACGTGCCTGCCAACAACGAAGTCGCATTGATGAAGGCAGTGGCTAGTCAACCGATTTCTGTGGCAATTGATGCAGGGGATTCCTCGTTCCAGCTCTACGAGAGTGGGATATTTACAGGAGAATGTGGGACTGAACTGGACCATGGAGTGACTGCTGTTGGATATGGTGAGAGTGGTGGAATGAAGTACTGGCTGATCAAGAACTCTTGGGGTGCTCAATGGGGAGAGGAAGGATACATCCGAATGCAAAAAGATATCTCTGCCAAGGAAGGCATTTGCGGTATTGCTATGCAAGCTTCTTACCCCACTGCATAGAATCAAAGCTTCTAAAATATCCATCTAGTCACTGCTCAATGAATACGTTTATTTTTGTAAAATACATTTGTGAAGTACTTATGTAAGTATTGTATACTTCGTAATGTTGTTGCTCATTGTTATATATGAGAAACAAGAGGGCATGGCTTATGTGCCTATACCTTCAAGTTATCTAATAACTCTATGTCTAGTAATGAATATGTTCCTTTCTCTATAATTCTTGCTTTTGTTCCTTCCTCCCAAATGAGTTCATTTCTTAAGTAACAACTGTGTTTTTATTGCACTTTTGTTCCGATCTACCAAAAATTAATCAGGTTCTAGCACTATTTCAAGAAGAGCAGTGTCTATAATTACTATAAGAAACTTGGACACTTCATTATCTAGTCGAGGAGCCGATGATGATGTCAGAATCACATTTATTTGGTGTTTCTATTATTATATTAGGTAGGATAATTATAATTATGGTTAGTAGAGATTTAGTCGAATTTGGATTATTATTAGGGTTTTCTCGTATTATCCCTATAAATATGTACCTTGGGTTTACGTCATAATCAGTCACGAAGAATATTAAGAAGAATCTCCTAAACCCTTGTTTATCATCTCAACTCCTAATTTCTACTCTCTCTTAATCCAAGGCTTCAGCCGATTCCCAATTCTATTTTGTTCTTTCTCATCTAAATCCCTAATCTCAACCCTAAATCCCAATTTGTTACGAGTAATCGCGGGTGCCGAAGATCATCTCTAGAAGCCCTAAGAAGTGGGTTTCTTACAGTGGTATCAGAGCCCGGTTGTGGCACTCGTACCATGGTTTCGACCAACTTTGATCTCTCGATCGAAGAAATCACTAGGATTCTTAAGATGAAGTTGGAATATGCCGAAAACAGTCGCCGACCGAGGATGGAGAGGAGCCCAGTCCCACTCGAACCGATGATAGCAGAAATCAATTTCGAAGAATGGTTGGAACAACCTGCGTTCCCCGTCGAGCTCGAGAAGAGGAGGGAGATCGAGGAGCAGGTCCACCGTGAGCCTTCGCCGCCGGCGCAAATCATGCGGGTGACGTTGCCCACTCCAGCCACGACAATGACGGGCGAGACGCCGGAGAAGAAGGAGAGGGTTGACTCGTCGCCGGCGAACGAGGAAAAACAGGCGTCGTTGAAGAAGGAACTGACGATGAAGGACGAGTCGGAGAAAAATGATGGTGGTGGGTTGCCTCCAGAGAAGAGGACGCTGAAGCCAACCACGGAGGCAGGGTGGCCACCATGCCGGCAGTTGAGAGCGTCGCCGTCGTGGAAGGATCGATCCTGCAGTGCTAGCAAAGAAGAAAATCTCGCTGCTACGATCAAAGGATATGAAGACGTGCCTGCCAACAACGAAGTCGCATTGATGAAGGCAGTGGCTAGTCAACCGATTTCTGTGGCAATTGATGCAGGGGATTCCTCGTTCCAGCTCTACGGGAGTGGGATATTTACATGAGAATATGGAACTGAATTGGACCATGGGGTGACTGCTGTTGGATATGGTGAGAGTGGTGGGATGAAGTACTGGCTGATCAAGAACTCTTGGGGAGCTCAATGGGGAGAGGAAGGATACATCCGAATGCAAAGAGATGTCTCTGCCAAGGAAGGCATTTGCGGTATTGCTATGCAAGCTTCTTACCCCACTGCCTAAAATCAAACCTTCTACAATATGCATGTAGTCACTACTCAATACATATGTTCATGTTTGTAAGATACATTTGCGAACTACTTATGTAAGTATTATGTACTTCATAATGTTGTTGCTCATTGTTATATCTTAAAAACAACAGGGTATGGCTTATGTGCCTATACCTTCAAGTTATCATGTAACTCTATGTCTAGTAATTAAGATGTTCCTTTCTCTATATTTCTTTTAACGTAAGTTTTTATTGCACTTTTATTCCGATCTACAAAAATTTAATCATGTTCCTATCTTTTAGTACTATTTCTGACTCATTGCATGAAGAGCAATGTCTATAAGAAACTTGAACACGTAATTACCGATTGATCAACGAAGGAATCATGGTCTTGAGGATATGGAGATCCTGTATCGATCGAAAGTCGTTTGTTTGGAACAAGGGGTAGATCAAAGCTGTATGGATTGGATCACAGGTAGGGGTGACAATCGGTTGTCTTGGTTACCGGTTTACCGGGATGTACCGGTATTCGGCAGGGATTTGAGGAAATTCGGTATACCGACCTCCCTGCCGGTATATACCGATGGTTTCCTGGTATTACCGATACCAGAAACCATGCAATGAACGAAGCATTTTGAGGAGGAGGAGAGAGAGAGAAACCCTAATCCTCCCTTAAACCTAATCGATCGTCGATGGATCCCCACTTCCCAGCCCTTTCTGCCATTGCCGAATGGCGATTCCCACTTCCCAGTTCCCTCTCTGGCCGACGGCGACGCCGCCTCCACCTCTTCGGTCTCCATGTCATCGTCTTCCCTTTCCGCCTCTCCCATGGTCGGGTCGTGCACACCTCTCGTTCTCTTCACCCCAACCATGATAAATTTGCCATTATGATCACGCGCCACTACTCCCATTCCCAAGCCTTATCCATCCAATCTCGCATCTGTGTTCAGCTTCACTTGCCCTGGCTCCGGTCTCCACCACACCTGTCGACTCGGCTGTATATCTGTTGCTTCCCTAGGCTGCTGCTACTAGCGGTATTCCTCCAGGTATGTAATCGCCCTCGGGACAATATCAGCCTCGTCCATTCTCTGTTCATTGAACATGTGGGCATTTCTTTCCTTCCATAAAAACCACAGCAGTACAATCCAGTCTTCAAGTTCATTTTTAGGTACCGACGCAATTAACTTCCTTACCCAATCCATGCAATCAAGGTTAGCTCGTAACTCGAAACAATGCGCAATGGTCGATTATCGCCACAGTCTACTGGCCCACGAGCATTCACAGAAAGCATGTACCTGGGTTTCAAGTTGGTCACAGAATGGGCAAGCTCCACTTTTTCTAGGGTCTCGATGGTGTACTCTCTCTCTCCGTAGCGAGGGCTTCTCTGGTGAACTTCCACATAAAGACTTTAGTTTTCTGTGGGATTTTGAGTGACTATATTTGATTCCATAAAGCTGGGTCTCCAACGCTACGGTCCCCATGCTTTTCTTGGAAAGATTTCAGCCACTCCTTATACCCCTCCCAAGCAGTGTACTTGCTACCCACCCAGATCAAGCAGTCCACTTTCTCTGCATGACATAGTGGGATTTGCCGGATGGCCGCGACCATATCCGTTGGGAAGCAACTCTCAAGGAGTGTCTCATCCCACTCCTCTTCATCCTCTTTGATTAGCTCACTCACCATCGAATCTACTGGGAGCACCATTGGGGCTGAATGGACTATGTAATCTGGTGTCGAGGGCAGCCATCGATCACCCCAAATAGGAACTCAAGCTCCATTCCCTATTCGCCACCTTAGACCCGATACAAGGAACTCTTGAGCACTCATGAGGCTTCGCCATACATAACTTGGCCGGTATCCCACCCGAGCTTCCAGGACCGATACATTTTTGTGGTACTTAGCTTTCATAACATGAGCTACCAAGGACTCATGTCGTTGATGCAAGTGTCACAGCTGTCTTGCAAGCAACGCTTGGTTGAATCCACATAAATCCAGAAAACCCATGCCACCCTGCTCTTTCGTGCAAATTAAGCCTCCCGCGCCACCCATGGGGTTTTCCTTTCCTCGCCCCGCTGCCCCCACCAAAAGCGGGTAATAATGCCGTGGTTGTCATCTAGGATACCATCCAGGACTTTGAAAACAGACATGCTCTAGGTCAAATGTGCCTGTGCAACCCACTTTATTAGAACTTCCCTAGCTGCAGCCAATATTAGTCTCTCTTTCCATCTTGTTAGCTTCTTTCGTACCCGATCCTTCAAGTAAAAAAAAAAAGCTCATTCTTCGACCAGCCAACCTCTGTTACAAGACCCAAATATTTGTTATTTTCTTTCACCGCCTTCATCCCCAGCATGGCACTGACAATAAGGCACTGATGCGGCTTCACATTATCGGCAAAAGTCACCTAAGATTTATCCAAGCTGACTAGCTGACCTGATTCCTTCTGGTAATCTTCAGGCACTCATTTCAACTCCTGACTTTCCTTCTCCGTTGCTCTAGCAAAAAAGATAGAGTCATCAACGAAAAAGAGATGTGATATAATCGGAGCTCCCCTAGCAACTGAGAGGCCATGAATCTTTTTCTGGCGGACAGCGAGACTTATGTAACTTGAAAACCCCTCCGCCACCAACAGAAACAGGTACGGTGATAGGGGATCCCCTTGCCGAAGTCCTTTGCTCGGAGAGAATACCAACAATCTGTGGCCATTAAACAGGACTGCATATGTCACCGATTTAAAACACAACATGATTAACTTGATCCATCCTGCTGCAAAACCAAGTCGTTCCATAACACCTTCCAGAAACCACCATTCTACTCTGTTGTACGCCTTGGCCATATCAGTCTTTCCCGCAAAGTACCCCATCTTGTTTCTTGTCTTCTTCTCCATTGTACCAAAACACACAAAGGCTGTCATCACATTATCAGCAATAAAATGACCCAGTAAAAATGCACTCTGTTCTAGAGATATGAACTTGTCCAAAATCACTTTCAATCGGTTTGCCACGGCCTTTGAAAGTATTTTGTACATCACATTACAGAGGTTAATAGGTCGGACATCCTTTGCCATAATTGGATCCTTCACCTTCGGTATCAATGTCAGTAAAGTGAGGTTCAAGTCTTGCGGCATAACTCCAGTATCCGCCACGCTCAGTAGAATTTTCGTTGCATCATCGCATATAATATGCCAATACTTAACAAAGAAAAGTATTGACATACCATCAGCTCCCGGCGCCTTCCTCTTCCCCATATGTCGGAGAGCCCCATATAGTTCTTCCCTCGTCAATAGCTTTAACAGCCCATCATTCATTTCCGCCGTAACCCTCAAAGGCACAGAGTGAAGGACAAGCATAAAATACGGCCATTCCCCTGCAGTAAACAAAGTAGCAAAATAGTTAGTGAAACACTACAACGCCTCCTCCGTTCCTCGCCACCATGCACCCGTCTCATCTTTTGTTTTATGGATTGTATTTCTAGGCGTCGCGATGAGGCCTTGTTGTGGAAAAAGTTTGTATTCTTATCACCCTCACGGAGCCAATCCGCACGTGATCATTGTTGCCAGAATAATTCTTCGTCACATTCTAGCTCCTCAAGTTCCATCTGTAGTGTTCGTCTCTGTTCCAAAACCTGCTCAGTCGTCCGACGTTTCTCTACAACTTTTAGAGCTCCCTTGATCTTCTCTTTATGTCGATGAAAATTAGGAAAGGAAGCCTGACTCCACTCATCCAGTTTGGATTAAACCTGGCGCATCTTCATCACTGCATTGCCCGGAGCCGACTCCCACGCCTCCTTCACCTTCATCTCGCAATCTTCATCTTCATCACTGCATTGGGTCCTCATCCATTACTATAGCCACAGTGTCCTCCAGCCACCTAATGGATATCCCTCCATCCACCTAATGGATATCCCTCCAGCTCTTCCACCCCTCGACGTGTCACAGGGCCAACCCGTACAATATTTGTATCCAAGCTCCAAACGTGTTAACTCATTTTCATCTCAAAGTTGTTTTGTTTCTGTCAGGAAAACAACTTGGGGCGAAACTTGTCGCAATAGTGACTTCAGGGACCTAACTACTCGTCTGTTTTCCAGGTCAGGACAGTTATAGCTCAATAGTCTAATTTATGTCCGGAAGGGATCGGTTTCCCGCACCATCAGCCTGTTTTTTAGTTTGGTTCCCTCCTTCTTCATGTCGATGTTTTGAATGGTTTCCCTCTCCTTTCTTCGGTTCCTTCTTTTTCCCAGCATCACCTTTACTAGCTCTGGATCAGTCAACTCCTTTCCCATGATCAGTTTTTCCCTGTTGGCTCTGATCCTTTTCTTGATGTGGGTGTTGTGCGTGCTCTTTTGGGTGAGGCGTCTGTTTGGGCTTCGAAGCCATTGCATGTGCACAACCTATGGTTTCAGTACGTGCTTTTACTGCATGGGACTGTTCATTTGTGTCTATCTCAGGTGTATACTCCCCACCTTCTGTCCATCGACCCTCTCCTTTACCAGCGGCCTTGTCTCTGGCTGCTCCTTTTGTTCTTAGTTTGGGATAGCTCCTGAAAGCGATTCGTGGTAAAACAACCTGCAGCTCGTGCATGCGCCTAGTTATGCTGCCCGACCCTCTGCTTCTCGTTTTCACCTTCATCCATTCCTCATACGTCCGTCCTTGGAAGGGATCCACACTATCCTCCTTTTCTCCCTCAACCTCCTCCGTCTCCCTATCCAATCCCGTTGGAATGCAATGGCATTTCCCAGTTGACTTCCCATATGTACCAAAATCAGTACAACGATAATCCAAACCTTCATATTGGACTAAATAAGTAATGCCTTCTATCTTAAA